AAAATAAAGGAGGGGAAAAGAAAACACAAAAAAAAGGGGAAAAATTGGTTAGACAAACACCTGTCCCCGTCAGGTGAGATTGACCCACATAATTGTGTGCCTCTCTGGCGGAAGCTTTTTTTTTTTTGTATTTTGGCTGCCCAAATCAAGTTTTCTATTGCAGAAATTGTTGTTCACAGGGAAACGCCTCAATGCACAGTGGTTTTGGGCTGACTGTTACAGTTATTTCAGCGCTGTTGCCAAAGGGTGAAACACACCTTGCTCACTCACCTGGCCACGCCCCCCGCCCCTCTTCAGGTGCTTCGCCTTGCAAACCGCTCATTAAGCGCCTGGGAAGTTCAGCTAATTGAAACTATTAAAAACAACTATTTTTTTGGACTGGTTTTCGCCTGGTTACGACAGTATCTTGAGGCCTTTTAGATTTTTGTGGATAACTTAATTATGAAATAGAAGGCTGGGTATTCATTAAATTTTAAGAAAACCGGAGAAAGGGCTGGATTGTAAAAAGGTTATGAGAGGAAAGAGCACCCAAATTTAATTTAATTTCATGACTTTTTTCTTTAATTACGTTTATAAAAATAAAAAAACTATTAAGAATCTTTATGCAACAATGAAATTGACGATGATGGTTACGTTCTATTGCAAACACTTTTTGCTAAATGTGCTTTAATTGCTAACTGGAATAATTTGAAAATTAAAACATATAAATCATGTCTATTACTAATCTAATTTAACATTGTTTAAATAATATGTTATATATAAATACCTCTTGCTTACTGACTTGTAACATAAAAACACTCCCCTAATTAAATGTTTCGTATTTTTAATAAACTACAAAACTTTTACCTCAACAAACATTTTGATGTGCTTCAGTTGGTTTCTTTAGAAATGGTAACAAAATTACAAGGGGTCAAAAAATGTCGCGATTGTTGCGATTTCCAAAGAAACAATGCCTTGAGACGCAGTTAAAGTGAAGAAGAAATTGACGTCTTTTGTTGCCGGACAAGTGAAAGTATTTATGGACATGTGGGCGGTGACTTCTTGTTGTTTGCGAGTTTTTTTCAGTGGGCGTGTCTGGTGAGCTCTCTTAAGAACTAGCTATGAATACAACAAACAACATGAATACGACTAAGTGCAACAACATCGAGATGGTGAAGGTTTTTAGGTAAGGACTTTATACGCACATGTCTCTCAAATGACTGCGACGACGGTCATAAGGAAAGTACTCAAAATACTCATCATCCATTTAGGTGAGATCAGATTCCTTTTATTTTGTAATTTACTAAGCGGTTTATCTTTTATTGTTTGGTTAGCTCATTTGCTTATCAGTTTTAAATGCCATTGTACGCATTGTGAACGTCATTGACTTTAATTTGTTGACATTAAACGATAAGGTCTGTTTTACCACGATTTCGATAAGATATAATGGCTTGTAGGAGTAGAACGATAATTCCTTTGTGTATTAATTTTCTATTCTTACAGGTGTTAACACAAATTAAATGTTGACGAAATTAATACGAGCAGAATTGTCGATTAAACACAATAAAAGTTAGGCAATTTTTAATTGATTTTGATTAGTAATGCTGTCTTAGTTTCTAGCAGCATATAAAACTTCAAGGTTGATCAGTTTAGCGAAATGTACTTTGTTCGTTTTTCAGCACTTTTAATTTAGTTTCTCGTCAAACTCGTTAAACTAACACTATAAAGTACTTTAATGACAACAATTTATAGTGCGATCATCATCATTAAAACTAATGATACATCAATGATTTCTTATAGATCTTCCTGGATTTACGATGGCTTACACTCCCACAGAAAAATGTTGCACATCCGTTAACTTCACTTTTTATTTGGTTTATGAGGCGCTCAACAAATTGTTAGCTCGTTTTTGCCACAGAAAAGGAAATTTCGTTCGAGAAAACGCACTCGCACTCATCATCGGCAAATTAGACACACTTTCGCAATTGACGGCTCCGCCAGCCACACTTCACTTTTCATTATAAATCTCCTCAAGCCGAACAGCCAAGCCAAACCAAACCAAACTGAAACCAAACCGAAACCAAAACCAAACCGCAGTTAAAGTCGATGAGAGGATGGTTAATATTTTACCAACACGCTGTTGGAAAATCGCTCTGATAACGTCGTTAAACGCTCTCAGGCAGCGAAATCGAAACCAAAGCTCGAAAATCGAAAAGAAAATCGCTGGAAAAGTGCACTCTCGACTGCGCTGACCAACTAACAATGAAATTGTTCAGCTGCGGACGGGCAACATTTATACGGCTGCTCTCCGTGTAATTAAGGCTATAAAACTGATTCGATTGTGATTGATGGCTCTCGACAATGCGTTGCGAGCAGGAAAGGGCCAAAAAGCCGAGTTGAAGATGCGGTGAGTGTGGCAATGGGCACTGCACTTTTGGCCGGCTTCCACGCGTCGATTACTCTTTCAACTCCCAACGCATTCGAGAGCCCCAGTTGATTGGCTCTGTCGTTACTGGTTTTTAAAGGTGTCGAAACAAGGGTGCCATTTGGGAAGATATCATTAATCATGATTTCAGAAAGCCCTTTTTTTGGCAGAGATGGAAAACGTTGTTCCAAGTAGTTTTTAAAACCCCTGATTTGTTGTGTAAAAATTCATAAGAACGTTTCACTCAGTTACTGCTGCATTAAAAACTTTCTTAAATTTGAAATGCAAATATCTCTAATAAATTAAAGCAACAGAATAAAAAATATTAAAATATTTAGCTTTCAAAAAAATGCAAAAAAATTTAAGAAGTATTTTGAATATTGAATTCAATTAATCAAACTAAAATAAGACGAAGGAGAAGAACATTTCTCAGTTTATAAATTTCTAAGCAATTGTATTTTCTGGTATAGAGTGACAATAGTAACCTATACACCTTTTGTTAACATTGTTTATGCACCTATTTTTAACCAGCCAGTGTGTAAATGGGGCTTTAATTTGGCTGAATGCATGGGAAAAGTGCAGCACAAAAGGGCGTGGGCCCCGTGGAAACCCGGGGAAAAGTCACGTGCAAAAGACGAGACACACATGTCGAAGATGGAGAAGAGGATAACGCACGAGAAGAATAAAGAGACGACGAAACGACCGACCGACCGACCGCCTTGTCCGATTTTGCATGGGAATGTGCAGTATACTATACTATATGGCCGAAGAGTGCTCTTGTTATAGTGGCCATTATGGCGGTGATGGTAGTTGAACGTCATTAAGGCGTGACGCCGTAAATTACCAAAGTGTAAACTACAGCACAAAACTATGTACGAAATCTCATAAAACCGCGCGGCTCAAATTAAAATCGTTTTCTATTCCGTGGAAAGCGAAATTTATGGCCAAAAACAAAACCGAAAAAATCACAATTAAATCTATATTTGCACAAATGTTTCACATACGACGCGTTGTCTGGAGCCCCCAAAAAATACATATATATATCCATATAAAGGCCACACACACACTTTCACATACTTTTGTTTTCTCAATGGATGCGGCGGAATTTTGTATGTTTGTTTTTTTTCTCGGTTTTATACCGGAACACTAGTTACAGACTCTCTGGCGATTAATAAATAATGAAATCGGTCCAAAACGGTGACAAAAATTATCTGACATCCGCTCGCGGTTAAAGCGAAGTTCGAACTAAAACCAAAAACCACATTCCAACTTTTTAGCCGCTTGCCAATCTAAGGCGGCCAACAAACAGGTTCGAAGCGGGAGAGCCAACAAGCCAAATAATAAACAAAGCGGGAGCGGGCCAAAAGAGCGAACAAGTGTGTGTGGGAGAGACGCTGAGAAGGCCAAAGGCATTTCTGTTGCAGTTCAAACGGTTGCCAGACGCATTGAAATAGTCGGCGAGTGAAAAAGTGGTTGTAGGTAACAGGAAAATACTACTGACTTACGGTTAAAAAAAATTTACTTTAACTGCCTATAAGCAAGGAGGGGTTTTATGGACCATTTTAGATAAAAAAAAATAGTATAACTACATGTTCGATTTTTAAAATACGTTGGATGCTGTTTTCTTAACCCTCTAATGCCACTTTCCACAATAACGCAAGTATAATGAGTGCCTCAAGGCACTCTTGGGGCTTAGAGGGTTAAGATTCTATTAACTGATTCAAAGCAAGTATAATTTATCTAAAAATTCTTCCTATTCAAAATAATAAATAATAATAAATTGTTTTAAAGGTAATTTATAGTTTTAATATGATTATTTTTAATTTATTGTCAAAATAAAATCTAAATATTTTTAAAGAGAGTTTCAAAAAAAACATGATCACGTAAAATAATGCTTTTATTAATAAATTTCTGTTTTTATTACTTTAATTGGCTTTAGATATTAGTTTAGTCATTTTAGTTCTCAAATTTTTGTAAATCGTGAGATTTTTTATTAACAGTAGACTGACTTTTCCTAGCTTTGTCTGGCAACTCTTTTACAGCCTCTGCGCTTTCCCACGCAACTTGTTCGCCTGCAACATGTTGGCCGGCGAAACTAAAATCTAAAACTACAAACAACATCAACAAATCTGGCAGGCAGTGAACATTCTCAAGTATCTATTAGATGCCAGCTACCTCAAACCGAAGCCAAATTGGCGTCAGACGAAACTTTCGAGCTGCTTTCGGCTGCCAAATCATTGGACAACATGCAAGCAAAAAACGTGGAATTGTCGCCGAGTCTGCCAATTAGCCAAGAAATGCCAGCCAACTGCCAGCAAAGTCGGGCCCCCGCAAAGTGGCCAGGAAAATGCCTCGATTAGGCAGCCGACCACCACAAAGCTAATTGAGGGCCAACAATGGTAGACTTGGGAATTATGTGCGGGAAAACTGAGATAAACAACGAAATAGGTGAGAAATACAACGAAAGACAATTGAAAATCACTTAAAACTAAACGTTTTCCAAGGCGAGATGTCAAGGTTGAACTAAGGCATTGGAAAAGTTAATAGGGACAGCTATTGGGCCAAAATTAAATATTTTTAACAAACACAAAAAAACCAGGTTTTAAAAATGTTTATACAACTACAAATTTATATCATGGTTATAAAGTAGTACAAACATTTATGTTAAAGTAGACTTTGCAATTTTAACAAATAATTTATAGGGTTTACATTTTGCTTCCTCAGTGATATAAAAAAATTATCTAAATTTTCCATGAAGGACTCGGCACATTCTGACGTCTACGTAAATTTTTTTGATCCTGGTCATTTTCCACATTTGCATTTTCATCTGTATTACGCCGATTGGAAGACAAACTTCGAATGGGTTTCGGTTTAATAGGGGGCTTCTTGGCAATTGCATTAGAAGAATCAGGAATTTCATCGGATTCGGGAACTTCAAAAGATTCTGGAGGCTTAACATCCATTTGTTCATTACTTTCCTGTTCATTACCTTCTTCCTCTTCCTTTCTCTCATGCAAGGCGGCATTAACCTGGTCTATAACCACATGGGAAATACTAGGTATCGACTTGGCCGCATCAAGGGCATCCTGCAACTTGACAATATCCTCACTGACATACTGAACACGATCTCTCAGCGATCTTATCTCCGACATGGGCACCTAATGAAATATCTCAAATAATGCTATATACATAATTTATTGAACTACAGATCAACTCACTTCGCTCCTCTTACGCTTTACCCATCTAAATAATATCCAAAAGAGTCCGATCAGAAAAATCGACATAATGACATGGTAAGTCGTTGATCGGTCCGATACTAAGAATTTCCACATGTCCACGCCTTTTAGGAAAAACCAACAAGCCGATTGCCAAGAATGGCAATACGGTGACATTTTCACCGAAGTTTCAAGGTTAATATCCTGGCGATACTCCCACATCTTTAGGCAGAATTTCGTTTCTTTATCTTGTTCAACAATTTTGTTTGTTTAACGCAAAAAAATAGATGGATGTTGCTTGCTGTTATTACAAATTTGAACTGAAGTCTAGAACAATTTGGATAAAGTTAATTTCTCAGTTTACTACAACTTTTGATTTTGTAAAAGTTATTTTTGATATTTTATTCGAAAACTTTCAAGTAGCTTACAAAACTATTACAGATGCATAAATAGTGAAATTTCCAGAGCTCTCTTTTAATATACAGATCTTAATCTCTTTTCCCTTAATTGTTCTCAGTTCTGTAGCTGCATTTTCCCCCTCCATTTCCCAGAGCAACTTTGTTGAATGCCAAGTGCAGACAGGGAAAAACATGTTCACAGCAGATGAGCAAAAACAAAGGCATTTGCATGACAAATTCAAGTCAGCCAGAGATTCAAAAAGAGGAGAAGCCCTGGGAACTTGAAGGTCCGGAAAGTTGACAGAGCATCCACAATTTACAGCCTGCGTGGGGTTAACTGATTTGCACACGCCTTTAACGCAGAGAAATCTAATTATTTTTGCAGATTTCTCGCATTGTTTTAGCCGCCTTCAAGATTTAAAGAAAGGTTAAGAAAGATTGTTAATGCTGTTTAATATTTAAAATCAACTAAAATAACAAATCATTAAATGTAACTAAATATCAATATCAACTTCGATATCCCAAAAACCATTTGGCCAACACCAAACTGAGTTTTATTTTGGGTCAACTTATTTTTTTGCGACTTGACAAAAGTGCCGGCCTAAATTCTGAAGAGTAAACAATTGCCGCAAGTTAAACCTGTTTCTGGACCCTCTCCACTTCCTCTGATCGCCTGAGCGAAAAAGTAAATTCCAACGGCATGACAACCCCAGCCAGTCAGCGAAACTTGTAAGCCAAGTTAAGCGGGAAGGAGTTGGCCAAAAAGAGGGGAGAGTAGAATGACCCGCATCTTCTACCTTCAACCTTTTCACTTGGTCCCTGAGAAGAGTTCACAAAAGCGGCCAAACAACTTTTGGGCCGAGAAGATGGCAACAGGAAACATGGTCTTCAGTTGACAAGCAGAACTGCCAAAGGAAGTTATATAAATACTAGTAGATCCAATCTCAGTGTTCTCATTCTATTAACCAAAATCTCTTGCTATAAATCTTACATATTCGTTTGACTTTTGTAATAGTCTGCGTTGCAATTAAGTCCCAGGAAAAAGAGCAATTTTGGTTTGCTGTAACTTTTATGACAGCCCGCAGGCAATAATCATAAATTTCGGTTTTTCGGGGGTGATGGCGAAAAGAAAGCTCTTGAAAATTACCCAATTGAACATTCGCTTGTACAACAATTGAAACAGCCGAAAAAGATGGTAAAAACTGATAACTAATTTGGGTGGAGAAAAACAGGCAATTGACTAGACCAACTAATGGAAAAATGGGAAAATATGAGCCAACTTATAGTTCGAATTAACAAGCTTGGGAAAAGATAACGTGAAAATGATTTTTGTGAAAACTATCTAATTGCGTTACGAAAGAAACAAATTGAATTAGTAATGGAATTTTATAAATCTAATTTTTGCTTTGGAATTATAAGTTTTATAATAATATTTGCAAATTATAAGACATCTAGTTTGTTACCAAAATAACTTTTATACAGCTGATAATTAAGGATACCAATATTATTATTAATATATAACTTATAAGACTTTTATTTACAAATCAATATACCAAAACCAAATGGGACCAAAAATGAGGGTTATGATATTTATGAGGCTCTACATGAAAACCCAAAGAAAATATATTTGAGAGGGCTTACTGTCTCATTGATCCCCAACGACGCTGGGACAAACTATCAGGATTGCTGTAAGAAAAATGATTTATCAATTTGAGGAACTTAAGATGGTTTTATATTTTTTGTTTTTTAAGGGATCTGTTGCTAAGCTCAAAACACCATTAAAATGGAGCAGTCATTAATAATTTAATGGGAAATTCAGAATCTTATTAAAAATACAAGAATCAATATTATTTTAAATAAAGAAAGTAGAATAAAATATAGAAATACGAACACAAAAAAATATATATTATTACTACTAATTTTTTAAACCTCCTTTTAAGACAGCTCTTTTATTAATTTTTAACCATTTAGTTACTAGCCACTGATAAAATTAGACCTCATCACGGTATAATTTAAGAGAGTTTCGCGACTCTCTTACGATCAGGTGAATTGTGAATTCACCACGGCTTTGGCCAAGTGTTGAGCAAAGGCGGAAACAGCCAGAAAGAGACGGGTGAACGCGAATAGAAAGAGAGGCACGATCACTGTGATGTGAGAGATTCCGAGACTCGAAGACAGAGACACGCATGAATCACGGCCCAAAGCGTTTCATGTGCCCAAGACAGAGCATAGAAAAAACTGGTTTCAATCTGTGTATGCATTTTTTATGCCCCACACACAAGCACACATACAAATGTACAAGCTGACAAACACAGGTTTACATAAAAGAAAAGGTTAACTATCCAAATACGCTTTTTTATGTTGCCTCGGACAGACAAATTGAGAGTTTTGAATTTGTGAAGTCTCTGGGCCTGGTCAGTTTTGTTTTTTGTTCACGGCAATTACGTATTCAGTCCGATTATGTGGGCAACCTTATAAATGTCTGACAACTAAGGAAATTCGCATTCGCTTCGATTTCCATTTTGGGAGGTGGCCGATCAAATGAGCGAGATTACCTGGTGGGAGTTCGTCGCAGACTGCGCCTGGCCCAATTGTCCCGGGGCATTATGTTCAGTTCGTCATCACTGCAACAATGGAAACGAGATAATAAAATAGTCAGTTAGTAGTAATAACAATAGAAATATACGAGCCAGTTCAATGTGGATACTTCAAGCGATTAAATTGGGTATAGCTGAATGAAATTTAATTGTCTATTCGTCTTTATAACTTTTACTTAATGAAATGACATACTTATGTAAGGCATTTCTGAATAGAATAAATAAACTAACAGCCATTCGCAGTAAATATGCGAATTCAATCTGCAAACAATTTTGTTTTGATTATAAGGTTATAATTTATACAAAAATTCAATTCATTTAAAAGGATTCCAATTCCAGCAAATCCAATCAAAATTCTCTATCAATTTCAATGAAATTTCGTTTGTGTTGTGAAAAACCCATATCTACATTTGAAATGCTCTGTATATAACCTTTAAAGACTTACTCTTGTGGTGTTGATGAGCCGGCGTGAGGGGCCAAATCGAGTTCGATGCCAGTGCTGCCATTTAAATTGTTATTACCGTCATTCGAGTGTCCACTGTGGTTGTGGTGTGAGCTTGAATTGCCTACGCTCAAGTTATTATTATTGTTTATAAGGTTGCCGTTGTTGTTGCTTCCATTGGAATTGGAGCTGCGACCTTCACGAAGTTGGGTGGGATACTCATTTTCGCCATAGCCCTCAAAGGATTCGCCATCCGAAAGCGATGAACACTGGGATTTGGCAACGCCCGCTTTGTTATTAAAAATAATTGATTAAAAGTTTATTCAACCAAAATATAGTTGTTTAATATTTACCTGTACTGGAAGGAGGGCTGCTTGGGGTAGGGCTACTATCGCCCGACATCGTCTCGGCATAAAGAAAATTATTTGTATTGGCCTTTATCGATGCATTTCCATTGGGCAACTGAATTCGGGGCATTGGCGCCATTTCGGAGGAACAAAAAATGCAACTGGAAAGGAGAATAAGAAATTTAAGAGCTCAAGTTGGTTATCTGTGAAATTCATTTAGATATTCGATTGACTGCAGACATGACATGCAGGTCAATAGGTCAAAGTACTAAGCCAACTTCGTCATGCAATCGCAGAAAGTTTAGCAAAAGAGCAAAAAGCGAACCCATCACTGCATTACTTATTGATTTAAAAGAAAACGAGAAAGTTGGTTGGACTTAAACTTTTAAGTGCACTTAGTAAAATTAAAACTACTGCTTAGGAAGAGAAATAAACCTCAAACCAAACAAAGACAAATGTTTTTTAATTCTTACACTCTCTAAATGTCCTGTAATTCAATATATACAGTTTCATTAATTGCATTTCCTCCCCAACCAAAACTTGTCACAATTTTCAGGAACAACCTTCAACAGGTGCGTTTTTTGTTTCCGTTCAAAAGGAAAACGAAAATTATCAGCCCAAATCGTCATTAGCTAAATGGGTCGAGGTTTTCTGTGGACACTACTTCCTTTCCTGGCCACTTGCATTAGTCCCCACTTTCCGCCCCTTCAATTACTCGAAACTTTGAGGCATGACTAAGGGCCTAAGTACTTATATAGAAGGCCCCGATCTAAGCGTGAGTAATTACCTATATTTCTTTTTTAATTGGTTGTGGCTCTGCCTTTCCAACAATTTCGGTTTTCTTTTCCTAGTTTCACGCTTTCGTTTCTTTTGGGCATATTGTCAAACTGTGGGTGTAAAAGGCAGACGGAGAAGGTATGGTACAAAAATCTATAAATACTGTAAGTACAATTGTTCGAGTCTTGAATGGCTGATTGATTGATATGTCAGGGCCGTTAGTTGTAGAAACCAGAATTAGGTCAACATTTGTTTTGGGGATTAGGTAAAATTACAGTGCCCAATAAAAAGACTCAACAAAAAGGACAAAATTATTAAAAAAAGTTGTTTGTTATATACTTAACACCTATTTATAACTTCATCACTGTAAATATACAACAAAATAAATTGAACAAAGAGAAACAAATATTTAAAGCTTTTTAATATTTCTTATTCCGAAATGAAAAAAAGACTTTTAATCATCATCAATATTTCCCTATTAATTAATAATTAATAAGATATTATGGCATGTAATCTTTTCTCTATTTTTTCCCTACAAATTTCTCTTTAAATAATCCAAATTACATATCCTGGCCAAGTCATCAATTTCATAATAAACTGACCATAAACTTGTGATTAAATATTGATTGTCTGCTTAGCTCGATGCAAAACGTTTTTAGCTGGAATAATATGCAATAATGAGCATAAATATGTGATTAAACTGAGGAGGCTCGACGATTGAAGTTCGAAAGAAAGCAAAGAAAATAGTAAACACACAGCCGGCAATCAAATCAAATGAAATCAAACTAAATATACCATTGACCAGCCCACCAAAGGAGGCGAAATGTTGGAAATGGAGGTGACTTGAGGGAAATGCAAAAGCAAAAGAGCAATGAACCCTGCTCGAACCCAAAGAAAGCAACAAAAAGTGTGCACTGAAAAAATCGATGAAAGTTACTCAAAATAAAACCAAGCTAAAAAACCTCAGAAATCTTTTCCCCTTATGCAATGTTTTCTTTTGCTTTGGTTGCTTTGCATAATGTTTTGAAGTTGGGTGTAAGTTTTTTTGCTGAGAGCTGCCACCCCCAAAAGTTCACATGGCTGACAGCTGTGACACTTGATTAACTTGGCTAATACCAGTTGTTGCGCAGGGTTTTTCCAAACAATGGGAGTGGGTAAAATTTTTGGGTTAAGCTTTTCATTTATGAATGGCAAATCAATCATAGTATTTATTGACTTGAAAAAATTATAAAAAATCCAACATAATTAACTGAACCCTATCAAATGTTTAAGTTTTGCTAAATAAAAATAGTTGATTTTTTATTTTACATTCTTAGCCAAAGTTATAAATGCAAATGTCTATCTTTAAAAGCCAAGCCTGTTCGGTTACAAAGTAGGCAAAAAAAAAATGAACAACCAGCTGAGCAAGAAGTGCAGTTAGAAGAAGAAGAAGAAGTCAAACCGCTTGGTTTACAGTTACTGCAGATGCTCAAGGGGCCATAGCTTTTCCGAGCTTCCCATGCGTTTTCCCTTCTGCCCATTGAGATTATAAAATATATTTCCCATGAACGGTTTTCTTTTGTTCGCAGCTTCGTTGTAATTATCGTTACCTGATATGCAAAGTAAAGCAAGAAATATTTGGAATAGAAATAAATGAATAAAGAATTGTGTGAATTTCCTAAACAAAAGGGAGGTGCAGAATGTCGTGATTAACTTGGGTTGAGCTTTCAGCTTAGATCGGAGATTGTGCCCATGCAACAGTGGAATACGGAGGATCGTCTATAATAGTATATACTGTTCTCATTTATTATTTTCCTTATCATTATATCCAAACTGATTAATGGTTACAAGCTTATATCTAGTTCACTTTATATAACTGATCCAAATTTTTATTTTACGAGTATAATATTCTAAAAAAGTTTTTAACTTTTTACTGTCATCAAATTGAAGTCGAATTAATATTTATACATTTTTATATTTGAATTGATATATAATCTCTTTTGGATATGTCTATTTTATCACACACATTTTCCCCCAATTACCGAGTGACCCAATCCAGCCTTGAACCATTTCTCAGGCCACTTTCGATTCATTAACGCCAAAAAAAATACAGCTCATAAAAGCGAGGCACTGCAGTTCATAAGGCCGAACCATTAGCCATATGCTAAAGATCAAAAACTCGATCCCGATCTCCATCCCGCCCCCGCCAAAAACGAACACAACTCATATACGTATATGTATGCCCAACTCTATATGGGAATCGTATAATTATAGCACAAGTCGTGAATTGGAGGGGGCGGTGCGCTGACAGCATGCAACTAAATTTCGGTTTTATTTCTATTAGATGTTATCCGAGACTTGACCAGCTGGCTGCCCTCCAACGATTTCCCCTGCGATCCACTTTATGACTAATAAACTTGAACTTGTGCGAGAGGAAACAATTGAAAAATTGAACCGATGGGAACAGAGAAAGAAAAAAGGGGGAGTAGTATCGCCTAGGATGTTCAATTACTTGTATGTTGTGTTGTCACACACATGTAATCCATCTATCCATCTACGTATCTTAATAATTATGCAGATGCCTTGTTGTTGTCGCAATAATACTTGGGGATTATGAAACCGCACGTACCAAAATACGAGATACATGAACCCAAGGAGGCTCATTAAAGATTCCAAGCCATGTGGCAAATGGGCGAGTTCGAATTCGATCCGATACCGAGAGTGGATTGCACACTTCAATGGAACAATTCCACAATTCCGATGAAAAATCCTAATTAAAGCGAGGAGAAAATACGTAGATTTCGACAGATCCTTTTTTCCTCAAGTGGCAACAGATGCGGAGATTTTCCAACTACCTGCTCGAGAAATCGCTTCCATAAGCATGAACAGCTGTTTTTCAATTAGTTTTGCTCGCCTCAACTGTTCATCTTTGGAGAATAATTTTCTTATCTAACCCGAAAAATCAAGAAAAATGCATGGAAAGGCAAACGTGTTTAATGCCTCAAGTCGAGAATTTCGTTAAACCGCAATGCAATTCAAATGTAGTACGTGCTTTTAGTAAATCATTCGGCGACACAGCAATCAATTGCTTAAGTAACTAACAAAGCAATAAAAACTCGCTGCGGTATTTTGTATAATATTTCGAATTATATTTAACCATGTTCCGATTTTCAATTTTATAGGAGATTTTTATAGCGATTTTGTAAATAGTTATACCTCTTAAAAGTGTTTAAATTGTGCTGGTCAACAGTGTTTTAAAAGAATAAAAATAATACTAAATAAAATATTTATATTGACATACAAACTCTAAAAATAAAATACATTTTGGCTTACTTTGTTTTGATAAAGTACATAATATATTTTCTATATCTCACTTAGCCTTCAAATGAGCTTATCTGTCGAATTAGCTCCCAAAGTCCCAAAGCAAACGCCCCACATAAACAACAAAAAAAACGCCCACAAAAAACAGACACACTATAATAACAATCAAAGAAAAAGACAGATACCCAAGAAGTTGAAGCAATATTGATGAATTATACAAAACACAGACTGGAAAAACAAAGAGGAAAATTTGGTTACAACACTTGAATCGGAAAAATTGGGTCACTGGGGGAAGTGAAATGAAGGGGAACGTGGTGGAAATTAGAAATGAAAAAGCGACAAAATCTGGGAAAAGCACCATTAAGTGAAACTATTAAAAGAAAATAAAACTTTAAAAATGATTGTATTAAGGAAAATATATTATTTTAAAAGCTGAGTGCCAACAGCTAATATCCTATATTATATTTACTAAGGTCCCAATGTCCACACACTAATTTTCGCTTAAAGCTTGATCTTTTAATCCTTATGTCGCTGACATGCACTGTATGGTATATCCTCATTCCACTCCGTATACTTTGAAATCAATTAGTAAGTCCACGACACGTCTGAATCAACTAGAAGACAAATCTCATTTGCGCCCATGTTGACATATTTTATTTTAAGTCGGTGAATTTATTTTTATGCCTCCAACTGTCGGCACCCGTGGAGAAACTCCCTCTCAACGTATTTCCCTCTAGTTTGCACTCTATTTCTGATCCGGTGAATGCTTCGCTGGCAGTTCCCGCTAATTTGTGCTCCTCCCCGCAGGTTTGAAATTCTCCGGGCGCGAACAGAAAGCGGAAGCCAAGGAGACCCGTAGAGAATCCACAAGAGCGAAAATTCCACGTCAAGTTTTTCGTGAATGCCTTTGCTGAATGAATAATGAGGCAGGCGTGCCGTTCCCTATTTTTCTAGGTATGCGGAGGAGGTGAAGGGGCGGAAGTAAAGCCGGCGGAATCTGTAGACTTGTCTGAGAGATCTCGAAAGGAAAGACTGGGGCAGGTCAAGAAAATAAGGCCGAAACACTCAGATCAGGCAAGAGGAATTTTTGTTCACGAAACAGTACCCAATAAGAATTATATTCCTAGTTATATTTAAACAATTATTATGTATGAAATCGTATATCAATAATAAACTCTAAGTAACATAAGTTATTAAGATAAAACTGAAGTTATGCTTTATGCTTTTAATTAATACAATGGAAGACCAGATTAGGGGAGCCTAATCCTCCGTAATATCCGTAACTGATATCCTTAATATCCGTAATTGATATCCATAATATATCAAATTAATATATTGAAAATCATTATCGCCATTTTCCTTTTATTTTAAAAGTATTGACAGCATTTTATGCTTCAGTAAAGTTCCCTTTCGCTTTGTGTTAAAACAATTGAAGCATGAAAACAAGCCCTAGTTAGTTTATTTAGTAAAAGGTAAATACGGAAGTCTATTACAGATATAAAGCCTGGTATGCACATATATATACCTATGTAAGTTATAGTTGCTTGTGAGATGCACTGCCGCCAACAAAGATGAAAAGCAAAGCACACACATTCAACCGCATGGCAACACATGACAGAACAACAATAAAGAAACAAAAACACAGGGAAACAAGGCAGACTGTCATAAAATGCGACACCTGTTTAAAGTTGTGGCAGTGCCCCGCCTCCCCAGCACCACCCCCACCTCCTCGCCCACCTTTTGAGTTCTTTTTGTGTGTTTGCAATGCATTTCATTTACCGCAATTATTTACTTTGGCTACGTAGACGCGGACTCTTCAAAAAGGTGGAAGAACCAAATGTGGAAAGAGGATTTCCTCACACGCTACACTTTAAAAAACATTCAAATATTTTCGAAAAGTAAAAATAATAAACAGCGAAATGTTTTATATATTTATTTTGACTCAAAATGTGTTATTTGCAGCAATTTTGGTATATCTTTTATAAATTGTTTTGGTTTAGTAATTTAAACTTTTTAAGTGTGGAACCAAAACAGTAAAAGGAAAACTTAATTGATTGCTTCTTCTTCTATTTTTGGTGCATTGAACCGGCAGCACAGGTGGAAGAAGAAGAGGAAGTTGAAGAAGCGGCATTTGACCCAGTTTGATGGAATGGCATTTGAATGCATTTCCATTTGAGTCGCTCATTCAGTGAGTCGGTCGATCAGCGAGTTTTTCAGGTTGCTGTTTAACCAATTAAATGTCAATTGGCGACGTCATCTGGCTCTTCAATCAGCCATTCATTCAACCCCTGCAGGGAGCTTTTCTCACCCCCACTTAAACAAGCATCTGACACAATTGAATTCTTTCACATACTGTCTTCTCTCTTCATTTACATTCTTTTTCTTTCCCCCTTTCGTTCTTGTTTAGGTTTTGGCACAATAACAATAATAGCAACAACAGGCACGAGTTCTCTCGTCATTGCCTCGTTTATAAACAAAACAAAAAAACCAACGTGAAATAAAATTTAAAAAACAAATACGAAATCTTTTTATTTTTAACTTGTTTACCTTGAATCGGCTCGAGTTGAAGTTCAAGCAATTAATTACACTCAATTTCAGCTAAAGCTTTTTCATTTTTTCGCTTTTGCATTTATTGCATTTTGTAAAAGGCTTCTCAACAATTAAAATACTAATGACTTTTTGGTTAAATTGGTTACGGGTTAACAATTGAAAGGCAATATTTACTGGTAATAAATTAGTTTGGGAAGATAGAAAGTACATATTAGAGAATTCAAGGAAAAAAGTGCATTCATAGTTTTAAAAAAATCTCAATTATTATTAAGTATAAATTTTTTTGTGACTTTTGCATTTAATGCTTCTCTTTTAGTTCATTAAAATATTTATTATCATTTGTTAATTTGTTTTGGGTAAACGGATTCGAAAGGGGATTTCTGGCAACGAGTGTACGTAAATTATATGATGTGTTATTAAGACACCCCAGCTGAAAATTAAGCAAAAAAATGCAAGAAAAAAATGCTCAAAGCCGCATAACTGTGCCAAGGCAAAATATTCCAAGCCAGCAGCAAAATGTATATTTCTTTCTTGGTTTTTTTTTCTCTTTTGTTTGCTGGCCAGCATTGTTTTTCCCTTTTTGGCAGACTTGCAAAGTGCAAATGTGAAACGAGAACCTCTAAAGCATGTTAAACAGAGGCCAAAATGAACTTAGGGGAAATGGACGCACTTACAAACGAACGAAATATCAAATTACACTGTGCAGCCTGATGCAATAGGAAGAGGAAGCAGCTGCCTCTGCTGATTTTCCATCTTAGGCCAAGTGGATCTCAGATTACTGAGGGAAAAAGAGCAGATACTCGAGTGCAAGATGAGCCACTTGTAGGGATGCATCCTGTAGGATAAGGATAAGACAGGTGGTCCGGAAATAGATGACAATACCCGGCACTTTAATTAATTAATGGGTGGCATAACTTCCTCAAACTCCAAAAACCACAAAGCCCAGTAAAAAGTGAGGGAGCGGGTCGAAACAAAAGCTGAAATAGCAATGAAACCAAAACAAAAAGTCAACGATGTCTCCGGCTGGCACGAAACTGGCTCAAACCCACAATATATAAAAGCGATGAGAGAATTGCAAGCGAAAAGCAAAGGGGGCTCCCAAAATCAACAAATAAAAACAATTGCGAATTTTCGCATTCGTGGAAATGTTACAACTGTCCCACGCAAACACACTCACCAAATAAATAAATGCGCAAAAGTCGTTTACTTAATTGCCAAAAAAAAGACAAGAAAGACGATACTAAATTGTATACTACTAAACTTTTTCAAATGACATTAGACAATCAATAATGCTAAGAATGCGTGACTTATTTGAAAAAGGCCAAAGAAATTAATAACCAACTCGGTTAAATAATTTAATGCATTATTTAACGTTGGCAGTGGGCTACAAAGTTAATATGTATACATTTTCTAAAATAATTGCCTAATCACTGAAGTATAATATGGTTTTAAATAAATAAAGTACAAATTTATGAGCCCAAAGACAAAATACACTTAATTTTAAATATTGAATAAGTAACTTCTATAGTAATCTTTTAAATATTCCTAACCAATAAAGTATGTATAAATAAACCAAGTTTATTAATTTAAGAGAATATGCATACATATATAAGTGTATGTGTTTACCTATGTACACAGAGATCAGATAAGGTAATATATTCCCATGAAAGTAGTTATAAAAACTAGATAAAACATTTTGCTAGGAAATTGTGACAATGAGAATCTCAGTTCTCTTATTTTTACTATGGAGCCCTAACTTGTTGTTCCTTTAACTAATAAGTCTTTCCAACTAGTTTTGCTTTATCATTTGCTTAATTCAGATTTTCTCGGTTCTTTCCATTTCGCTTCTACAGTGTTTTTTAAGCTTCTGCTAATTAGCAGCCGTTTTAAAAACAGTTAGTTGGGCAAACGCACCTGTTAAAATATATTTGCGTATCCAATTGGAGCAGACGACCGACTTTAACCGTTAGCGGGACATGAATTTGGTTAAAAACAAAATAAACGAATTATTTGCACTTGGCGAACAGCAACAACAATTGAAAAGTGGAAACACACACAAACACAAATGCACGCGAGTGGGAGAGACGGAGACGGAGAGAGCCGGCGGAGCGCAACAGTTAGATGTTGTTGTTGTGTGTGTGTGTATATTTGTTGCAGAACAGGTAGTTGCACAAAATATTGCCTAAATAAAGCTATTTATTTTTGATTTTATTTGATTTGTTTGCACTTTCACTCAGATTAGCATTTTCGCGTTATTTTTTGTGTGTAAGTTGTAATTGTACGCGTGCGTAACGTTGGTAACGTCTTTAACTATTTTTTTGGCAGTGATTTCGGGCTTTTACGAGGGAAATTTTTCCACCGCACGCACGCTTGTGTTAATGTTAAACATAAAAGTAATGAAGTGTCAAGATGCCGGGAAGTATATTTTATCAGTAAAAGAATCCATAGTTTTGTTGATGTTCCGATAAAATCCGACAACACCCGCGCACACGACCAACCTGTCTCGAATTTTTTTGAAAAACCAACTAGTGGTGGAATGACATCAGTCTCGCCAACGATGTCATCGATATATTAAAGCTGTTAGAGTTATCGATATTTTGCAGCTCTAGTTTCCCACCATCGATGTATAGCTTGTTCACTTACCATCAATAAAAGGTTTGAGACCTTACTTACAATGTTACCATTCACCTACATGGGCATCACTGCTAATAGCGCCAGAGCGGCGAAATTGTGCAAAATAGCGGATAAACCAACCATGGTTTGTAAGTACAAAAGCATTTGGAATATTCGATAATTTGGATGTGAAATAAAATCGCCGCTTTGTTTGAATTTCAAGAATCAGTTCGACGGATAATTTTGTTTAAACTTGTTAAACAGTTAATGGGGAAAGGTAAATGTTAGTCCTAATTAAACTAACTACGGAACTGTAGTAATTAAAAAATACCTTTAAATTAAACTTAAAATTATTTTTATTGGTGTTTCCAATAACTGAATAAATTTGAGAATTATGTATTTAGTTCGACTCTCTAGCTAAAGTCATAATATATTTTTACATGATGAGTTTGTAATCCAACGATTATTAGCATGAATCACACAAATTTTACAGTATGATTAATATAGTTAACAATACGGTATTTTATAGTTATATTTATATTTTAAAAAATATATTCAGATTAGTGAAAGAAAGTTTCAAATGTTATTGTTATCAACGCCGGTAGTCTTCTCTTGTATGTAAACAAATATCTAACGAAAAGGCTAGCAAAACCTGTTGAGCGAGTGCAACAGGCTCGATGTCCTGGCAACGCAGCGTAAACAGAGCAAAGGAGCTCAAGTTCAGCTGTTGCATTGGCAACGGACGTGCCTCGGAATGTTTTGTCGATAGCCACCGATGGACAAGGACCACGCCACAACAAACAGAAAATTCCAAGAGCAGACAGTTCATCCAGCAATGTCGCGCTACAAAAGCCTGTAAAAATCGGAAAATAGCCAGTGGGAAAGTGAGTTCGGGATCGGATAATGGGGAATACGGAGAGCAACGTGACCAGCGGGGTCAAGAAGCAGGCCGGAGTCTCCACGCAGGCCCTCTACAAGTTCGTGAACCTCAAGGGCGGCGGCCTTCTGGTGGACATGATGAAAAGGGCCTGCCAGACGAAGCAGTTCGCCGAGATCGATCACGCCATCAAAACCAAGGTGGAGCCCTTTCTCTACAACAAGGGCGCTGGCCGGTACTTCCCCATCTCCAAGTTGGTCCTGCTGCGGAACAGGGATCGCCCCCGCACCCGCCAGCTGCCCGAGATCAGGGCCCTCGAGAATCCCGACGACGACTTCAACATCCACGACTACTGCCCCGAGGTCTCCGAGGCCGAGTACATATCCAATCCAACCGCCTATCGATTCGTCTGCTGGGATCTGAATGTGAGTGGTAATAGTTTTTAACCATTCAACTAACTACATTCTTGCTGTTTAAAAGATAGTAACAATTATATAGGGTGACATAGAAATTTTTAGAGATTTAACATATTATGGTTGGGAACTTATCTTTGTACTTCTGGTATATAAATATTTATATATAAACCTGATTGTTTAAAACTAAGCAGAATATATTTCCTGGCAACTAGAAGGATATAGTAACAAAAGTACAGAGGGCCTCAGAAATTTCTAGAGTTATAAAACTGGGACATTGCTGTTTGGAATTTATTGTGAGCTTCTGGAACCCAAATATTTTGAAGTAGTTTTCTCTATCAAGTTACATTTGTTACCTATATTTCTGGGCTAAGAACTGCCTTTTAATGACTTTTAATACCCCAAGAACTTTAATCAAGCTCTCTTAATCTCTTAATTTTCTTTTTTAGATGCGTGGCGCTGTGGGCGAGACCATCCTCCATTTGTGCCTGCTAAACGCTTCTTCTTTGCACGCTGACTTGGCCAAGAGGCTGCTGAAGTTCTATCCAAAACTTATCCTGGACATCTACATGAGTGACGAATACTACGGAGAGAGTGTCCTGCACATTGCCATCGTTAACGAGGATCCTGCTATGGTGAAATATCTGTTGGACGCCAATGCAGATGTTCAAGAGCGGTAGGACACTAAAATCAACAATTTATTTCATGAAAATATATAACTAATTCATTATTTAATTTTTCCAGTTGCTGTGGAGCTTTTATGTCGGCGGAGGATACAAAGTTTTCCCGAACGGATTCGCCGGATCACGAGTATGTGGCCCTCTGTCCCATGACCAACTACGATGGATATGTTTACTGGGGGGAGTATCCCCTGAGTTTTGCTGCCTGTTTGTCGCAGGAGGAGTGCTTCCGTTTGGTTTTGGCTCGAGGAGCGGATCCGGATTTCCAGGACACCAATGGAAACACCGTGCTCCACATGCTCGTAATCTACGAAAAGATCGAAATGTTTGATGTGGGTTATGAAGTGGGAACTAATATCCACATAAAGAACATCCAGAACCTCACGCCCCTCACTTTGGCCGCCAAGTTGGGAAGAGTCGAGATGTTCTTCCACGTGATGAGCATCGAAAGGGAAATCTACTGGCAGTTGGGGAGCATCACGTGTGCCGCTTACCCACTTTTAATGATCGACACCATCAACGAGGAAACTGGCAATATCAACAAGGACTCCGTGCTCAATTTCGTGGTATTTGGGGATAAGTTGGAGCATCTGGAGTTGCTTGATGGCGTGGTCATCGACCTGCTGAAGACCAAATGGGAAACGTTCTGCAAGTCGCGTTTCTACAAGCAGTTCTACATGTTCGCGGTTTACTTTCTGATCTCGCTGTTCAGCTTTATCCTGCGACCAGGACCGGATTCTAAAGATAAAGATGAGGATAGTGCCAACAGCACTACAGCTAAAAATGATCTTTATAGACAGAACGGTTCGGATTCATACCATCGTCAAACCAAAAGGGGTTCTCTAACTACAGAATACAGTTGAGTATCACTAAATAAGAGTAGTAAAACTAAATTCATATATTTAGAATTAATATATTTTATATCTTTCAGAAACCTTTTGGCTGAATTTCACCGAGTATTATGACCCATCTGAGGTTGAGGTTTTGCCAGCTTGGTGGGAGAGTTATGCCCAGTGTCCTCTAATGAATCTCGAGTCCGATTTGGCTAAACTACGAATTATGGCTGAACTTTTAAATTTTGTTGGAGCTATATTGTATCTTTTAATTGCTTTGCGAGAAGCTCGCTTTTTGGGTATCAAAATGTTTATTGAGAATTTGGTAAGTAGGTTAATATAAATTAAATACGCTATTAATTATTATGAGTTTTTTGTTAAGATGACGGCTCCATCGCGGGTAATGTTTCTGTTTTCTTGTGCTTTGATGATGACCATACCCTGGTTGAGGGTTTCTTGTCTCACCGAGATCGATGATCACGTCACCGTTGTGATAATGCTAACCACTGCTCCATATTTTTTGTTCTTCTGTCGGTAAGTTGAAAAATAAAATACGATTTACTACCACAAGAAATCTTAATTTATAGGTTACATAATTAATTCCCATATCTCTTTTCAGAGGTTTCAAAACAGTGGGTCCCTTCGTTGTGATGATATACCGCATGGTCATGGGAGATCTGCTCCGATTCGTCTCCATTTATTTGGTGTTCGTGATGGGCTTCTCGCAGGCTTTCTACATTATTTTCCTGACCTTCGACAACCAAGCGTCTCCCGAGGATCCGGATGCAGAGTCCAACCCGATGCCCTCGCCCATGGAATCGATTGTGGCCATGTTCCTGATGTCGCTCACCAATTTCGGTGACTATTACGGAGCGATGGACTCCACGCAGCACGAGTACGAGGCGAAGATCCTGTTCTTCCTGTTCATGGTGATCGTGAGCGTGCTGCTGGTGAACATGTTGATCGCCATGATGGGCAACACCTACCAGGTGATCGCCGAGATCCGCAACGAGTGGCAGCGCCAGTGGGCCCGGATCGTCCTCGTGGTGGAGCGGAGTGTCCCACCCGCCGAGCGCTTGAAGAACTTCATGCAGTACAGTCAGCCCATGTCGGATGGCAGGAGGGCTTTGGTCCTTCGATTAAACATGACTGTAAGATTATAAAAAAAAAGAAAAATATAAAAAATTTGAATTGATTACCTCAATGTATAATTTTACCATTGAGAAATGTAATACTTATACTAAAAGTTGTATTTTATTATTTCTTTTTTAATACATATATCAAAATAATAAGCTCCGTATCAATACAACAATTTTATTAAAGTATTTCTTAAGAATTTCTTATCAATTTAATATCTGTGTAACACTATTTTCTAATTTAACAAAGTAAACTTATTTCGGGAATAAATATTTTTTTAATTTTTCTAGGACGAGGAAAAAGAGGAGATGAAGGAGGTGCAGGAAATGAAGCGCATCCATCTGAAGTTCTCCAAAAAGCGGCAAATGGAACGCGAGGCACGGAACCTTCGGAGGCAACAGGAGTACGAGAAGTTCTTCGGCACCGCCCACAAATCGGAGAGTTCCGACAATAACAACTTTTGAAAACCAACAAGAGTCACTTAATTAGTTCAAGTTTTATTGAGCCTTGTTAAAATGTGTTCGTTTCAAGCAATAAATTTAGTCTACATTGCGTTTCACAGCTATAAATTAATTTGTATCCGATTTAAAAGTGGGATACCTTGCTGAATTTGTTATTAAAATATCTATCAAGCCTCATCATTATATTATTTTCGTAATTTTTTATGACCACCGACCTTTCAATATTGGCAAAAAATGTTATTTCAGGTCCCTTTTTATTTAAATAAATCTTTGAAGTGCGGTAAAAATTTATAAATTAAATATTTGCTCCTTCTTTGGTTAGTAAATGTTTTAAAAACATTTCACACGTTCTCAAATATATTGTTATAAAACGCTTAGTATTTAAATGTGGCAAACACTCAAAATCATCCTTGAAATCAAGTTTAGCCACAGCTTTTGACACATAATCGATGACTTATTTAGGGGAGCCACGAAAAATCTGTGGCACAAGTGTCGATGCATGCAAATGACAGGTCGCCCCAACAAACAGCAAACAAATATCAAAATCAAATTCACTCAAAACAACATTTAATAAAATCAATGTGCTTATAAAGTTCGCAACCCGAAAAAAGGAAGGAAGAAAAATGTCCCACAAAAGCTGCGAACAATCACCCATTTTCCCATTTTCCGATGGGTCCTAGGTAAATTTGCATTTCCATGTGGGTTGGGAGTAGAGTGGAGCCATAACTCAACGACTAGCAATACTTTTTTTTAACTCTCATGTGCGTTGACAGTTTTAAATCAAAGAGCAAAGCTCAAATGCAAACAGAGTTAACAAAGGTCAGACCCTCAACCCTTGAGAACCCCCACAAAAACCCAACCCCCAATCGATGAAATAAATTGCAAACTTTCCTTTCTTGCGCACTTTGATTTGCATAAATAATTTACTTTAAACAAACTCTTGAGTATCGGAGAAAGTAGAAAGTAAAGAAATTTCCAGCCAAGAAAAAGGCAGTCAAATGTAAGGGGAAAAGGGGCAAAGGAAAACCGAATTTCCTTTGACTTCTAGTGGCAGTTCGCTTGGGAATGGTCCATAATTCTTATTTGACTGCTTGTTTAACAATTTTCCTTATGCTCAAAGGCAACTCCCTAAAGGATTCAACCTGAGGCGGGTATAATTCTTGGGTTTCTTTTTTTTATATTTTTTTTTGGTAAGAGAACATGGCCAGCGAAACAATTACGATAGTTAGGGCCAAATCACAGACGGCATTTAAAAGTCATTTGGCAAACGCCCCTCACCGAAATTGCGCTATAAACGATGTTGCTCAAGGATCATAAACCCTGTTTATTTTCCGGGAACACCGGGAAGGTGAAAAACTGTCCGTTCGCATTACCATTTCGCATTTCCCGTGGCCCATTACCTTCCAGCGCTTTTATTGTTATTGTTTTACAATGTTTGTGTGTTTCCAAGGGGCGTAATTAAACAGCTTTCTTCTTCAGCCTTTTTTATGGCTGGAAATTTCACAAGTCGAAAGGGCCATCAAGATCCATATCTATAGTTCAGTTGGACTTTATAACCCTGGTTTTGGGTGTCTAAATAAATTTAACACAATTATCAATTTGCTATTTTAAACAGAAAAACTAAATTCTTTAAATAATATTATGATCTTAAGTTTCTTCAGTTGGTTTAATATTATAATCAAATACTTTATTTTAAACTCAACAATACAACTGATTGAACTATAAAAAATGTGTGCAGGCCAAAGAATGATTTTAATTCAAAACGCAGGAGGTCGGGCGAAATATTTACATTCCGCAATTAGGGGAAGTGGGCGTTGATTTAGCCCCGTGGGCGTGGCCGCACCATTCACAGCTGCCAGCGGAGCTGAGTCAAAAACATGTGATTACGCAACTCGAACTCGACACCTAGAACTCAGATCCAGAAATCCAGACTCCGACTCAAAAGGTGTGTAATTACATGGCGAGGACACAATGGCAAAGCCAATCGCCAAAGCTGGGAACATACTTTCTGGCCACACTGTGACACATTCAGATGGTAATTGTTCACCCATGAATATAAAGAAAATGGAAAGGGGGCTGCGATGGCTGCGGGGGCAGGGCGAGGGGTTAAGCGAACCCCTTTTGTTGTGACCGTCGGGGGTTGGACACCATATCATTAACGCCACACCGAAGGAAAACAATTTTTCCAGCGGGATCTCGAGCTGAGAACTTTTGCCCAGATTCCAGATCGAATTGGAATGCAAAAAAAAAAAAAGGAGTAGTGCTGAGTAGAATAGCGAATCCCGATCGCAGCGGGAACTAAATTGCTCTATTCAAACTCAATTAAAGTCAAGCTGCGGCCCCGAATGAGAGCTCCGATTGTGAGTGATCCCTGCTCTTTAACACTTTCAAATAAAAAACGCGAACCCCGCTCCTTCATCCTTCGTCCTTCGTCCCTTTTGTTAGCGATCCTTAACAAAGACGCTTGCTAAACGCTCTTCCGGTTGGGAAAAACGAGCGGAGACCCAAAGGATCCGACCTGATGCGATCCCAAAAGGATACGATCCCACGCATTATTCGGCAACGCTCCCATTGATGTCAATCATTGATATCCCTTTCCTGAATGCAAGGTGTCTGGTTATTGTATCCCTATCTGTATCTTTTTCTTTCAGCCTTCAAACTTCGTTTTTTTTTCTCGTTGGCCTTTGTGTTTGCTGCTACAATTGCAATTACGTAATCGTTATCTTGATGTGCAAATCGATAAACGGATGTTGTCCTCTTCTCCCTCTCGGAATCTCACTTCCCCGACGGACTCCATCTTTATTGGCCCAGACGAGCCCCATAAAAGTCGTTGGCTTAAATCGAATGGCCGCCACTTGCCGCGAGCCTTTTTTTGTTTGCCAACTCATAAAGCGCAACTTTTATGGGCTCAAATAGATAGCTTCGGGGTGGTTTAGATGTGCTTAGAAATTGCGTTATAAGCCATAAAGAAGTGGTAAACAAAACACCAAGGGACATTTTAGGAATTGATTTCAACAAGGTTTTTTTAATTTGTTTAAAGAAATAAAGAAAATCATTTTAAATGCTTGCTCTAAAAAGCAAAACTATTGTACTTAAATTATTTACATTCCTTATTTAAACATAAGGTGGTTCTCCTTGAAATTTGAGTTTGTTTATTTGTTTAATTCGTTTTGAGCTTTTCAACAAAATGTTTACAAAATTGTACATATCAAACGAGATGAAGATTTTTTCGCACTTTAAAATTTGTTATATTCTTAATTGCATATCCGACTTTTAAATAAAATTTGTTATGACTAACCAGTATTTTAAGCAAATTGCTTTTACCATCTAAACATATTTCTAGCATTAATGAACAAAGCCTCTAAGCTCACCTTCAATTTATTGATCTGCTTCCTTGCCACCCACCTCACATCGTCTTTCGAAGTCTGAATAATACGCCTCGATTTGATTGAAAACCACTTGAGAACCGAAGGGAAGCGAAAAAAAAACAAATTCTAACAAAAAAACCGCAAAGTTTTAATTGAATTTCCTGAACAAAATAATGTTTTGCCACTTGAGTCTCGCGGGAGGACGCTAAGCAAACAATCAGCACAACAGCCACAAAAACGATGACGGCGACGCCGCCAAGTCTGAATGACTGACTGACTGATTGACGGGCAGATTGAATGGCTACGGGATGGATGGGTGGATGGATGGATGGATGGGGATGCTCCTTGATCTAGATATGCATACACACTTGGAGCGAAAATTCAATTCGCCAAATCAAATCACTTGAGTGAAAATGTTGCATTCAGTCAATGAAAATAAATAGAAAAACACACAAATAAACACGCAAAAAAAAAGGGGGCGGTGGTGCGAAAAGGTGTCTTTGAATTGCTTAAAGAGCGCTTTGATCTCCGACAGCATTAAACGCGCTCAATAAAACCCTTTGACTTTGGCGAAACCATTTGCCAAATGACTGAAATTAATTAAGCGAAGAAGCCACAGGAAAATAAATCAAAGCAAAGAACTGGTTCATACCAAAGGATAATTGAAGTGTGGCTAAAACCACTGCTGCTTCAATTAAAGCAATGGGAAGTGAAAAAAACACAAACTGGACTTAAATGCTTGAGAAGAAATTTGTTACATTTAGAAAAGTATTAAAAGGATATTATTATTTGTGAGGTGTTTATCTTCGTTCTTTATTGTTATATAAAAGAACAGGTATGCAATAAAACAATAAAAACTAACCTAATTCAGAAAATCTAGTTATATTTTTTTAATTAATTTGTAAATGCACACATTTCTTCTTTTTTTAAATTTCAGGGTAATAATAACAATAAAAGAATATATTGTATTCCATGTGTAATTTTTATAACCAACATATTTTTGGTTCCCAACTTTGTTCTTGGTAATGTATTGTGTTACTTAAGCTAACAAATTGTGCCTCTAATGAAGTCATAAACCAGTTCAAAAACCGAGAAGGCGTTTTACATCAATGCCGAAGATTGCAGGCTGTCAAAACGATGCAAGTCGTTGTATCCTGGGGGGTTAAATAACTGCTTCTGACAGCCGCCCATCAGGTGGAGTGGACCTCATTTGGCAGCGGTTTTCCCAAAGACACGCCCATCCGCCCATGAAAACATTGGTGTTTGGCCCTCGGGCTACAAAACCGCAAGATTTGGACACAAATTTTGAGTTTTTCGGCAGCTAATCGATGGGCGGCTGTACTTTGGCTTGAGCAATCTGTTCCAACTGTGCTTGTTGGTCGTAAACACACACCGTGGGATTCGGCACGTCGGTCCGGAAGGAAACCCACCTCTTCTCCGTTTCGTTCTGGAATCCTTCCTCCGCCCGTTCGGAACCCACTTCAAACGAAAGTCGCATCGAGTGGGCACTTTGACGGCGACGATTTGCCCGGAGAGGAGCGACAACAAAAATTAGGGGTACACTGAAAAAAAACCCTAAAAGATAAAAAATTATTACAAAATCTATCATATATAATATAAATCAGATACATTGTTTAAAAGGTTTATAAAAAAGTGTGAGCAGCCATAAACATTTAATTTTTTTATTAAAAAAAAAAAAAAAATAGGTTTATATGTATAAACAACACATTTTAAAAACACATAAACTGTATTAAATATTTTATACATTTTTAACCATGTCTTAAGTTGCACCCTAAGGTTTCCTTAAAGGATTATTTATTAAAAATTTCTAGACATTCTAAATTCTTCAAAAATTGGTTATAGGTAAGGCACCTTGAAAATGATTTATTATAGAACATCTATTTAGTATTAGGAACCCTACCTTTAAATATTTCTTATAATTTCTGGTCTGTGTACCAAAGCACTTCAAATATTTACCCCCACCCCTAGAAGTCAACCCCTAAATTCGCGAGGAGAAAAATATGCAAAAAGAATGGAAATGAAATGAAATATGAAAACGAGGCATAAAGAAATTTGACTCAAGGATCGCGGCGGTTCCTTAAGTGGCTCGTTTCGATTACAAACGAGTGAAAAAGGCCTCTAGACGAGAGATCCCAGGCAAAGTCGTAAGTTAACCCCACCGGACGGCCACTTCAACTTCGTTTAAGAAATTAACATCGTTTAGACCAAGTGGAATGGATGGATGGAGGAATCGGAATCGGCGAGCAAGGGTTAAGAACAATGCAGATGGAGGAGGTGGTGGGGGAGACGTGTTAAGGTTTCTCGGTTAATCTGTTATGACATCTAGGACCTGGAATCGTAATGAACTCTAATCGAGCGAGGATTATGAGTGGCCATCGAAGATCTACGCTCTGACAGCTCCGACAATTGGATTTGCATTTGCCATCACATTTTCCCACATTCATTCAACAATAATAATGAATAAGTCGATGCGGGCTTACACATGTTTTTCACAGCAATTATCCTTTTTGGCAAACACTGCAAGTTGCTCGGAAAACACGCTGAATTGATTGTTTTTCCTGGGATGATATTGCGAAATATTATCAACTTGCTTGGGACAATGCAAATGACAATAACTGACCCCGGAAATAGTATTTCCATACAAAGCGGTAAACAGCGATATTGTTTTCCTCGAGTTTCCCTGAAACGAGGAGCAACAATGGATGTACAAAACGGATACAAAAGTTGTTGGAATTGTGCAACATCCATGACAGTCAGGTGAAGCCGAAACGGAAGTCGACGGCACATGTGGGCCTCCTTTTATCGCTATAGAGTTTTCCTACAGTTTTTATCCCTCGAAGAATGCCTCGTTTTGTTTCCCTAATGGTCTGAGCTTGGGATGAGCCGAGAGGCAGAATTCTGGAGACAATTTGGCCATTTCTTGTCACATAATCACGCCCGGAGCTGAAAGTAGGACCCGTATATCATGGGAAATTTAAAATTTAAAATTCAATTCCATTTTCTTTAGATAGGTAACTAGAAAAGTATGAGAATCTTTAAACGGTATAATAAGATAATTTCTAAGAAGAGATTATATTTTTCTAATCGAGTAAAAAGTAAAAAAAAAAATATTTTAATAATATACTTACATGCCTTTTGGTATCTAAAATTTAACAATGATACGTTTTCATTATCCCGACAGGATTAATCCCCCTATTAACATCAAACGATAAATGCGCCATAATTTTTCATTTTTCCATCCCAAAATGAAATGCAGAAGAGCCCCAAAAATGCAGAGAAAAGGAAGGGAAATTCGTGAGCATGCCAAAAATGCTCTTAACTGGAATGACATGTGAAAAGCGCCGAAATCTGTGAGGCAATCAAATGGACACGTACACCGAGAGTCAGATGAAATCAAAGGAAAATCTAGTGGGTGGAAAATGGAAATGCAAAATGAACAAAAGCCAAACCAAAAACGTGAGAAAATCCAGCCGAAATGATTCCTTTTCCATCTGCCGAAACCAGGTGCAAGGCGAACCAAATTATATAACTCACAATCAGCAAAAAATAAGTATAACTTGCTAAAATGATACTTGCATATATGCCGCATCAATAATTGAACGATTCAATCATCTGAACAATGCTGGGAATGTAACCTCATTTGGCTTTTATATTCGTTTCATTTTTGTCATTATCATTGAATCCATTCTGGACATTGTTAAATCTCACATTTGCTCGATTGTTCCTGAATTTAATTAAAAAAAGAATAAATGAAAAAAATTATATTTGCGGAATACAAAAAAAAAAACGAAACCAGCTCCCCGAAATGACAATTGAATGACAACAACAACAATCAACAATCGAAAACAACAACAATGCAGGAGCAAACAATGAAACGCGAGTCTTTCTCTTTCTCTACCGAGAATTCTGAATGGGTTAAGCGGCGAGGGTGATTTCTGACGACAGGATAAAGGTTAATATTGTATTCGAATAATAGTAATCACGGCCCAACTTGACTCATCTCTCACCTGTCACGAAGCGATAAAATTAATATTGCATTCATCAAAATTTGTACTCCAAATTTAACCATCTGTCGGACGCTAAATATGATTTTATTAAATTTTTGGTTATTAAATCAGAAAACAAAAGATATTTAACCCTTCGAAACTCGTTTTATCCAGCTTTAAAAACTTAATTAATACAATATGATAGACCGATATTTTTAAAGAATTATGAAGAAAAGAATAATAATCATTAAGAAAAATATTTTAGTTATTACCCATTGAAAGAATTAAACCGTAATTCAGTTTTTATACTTTTAGAAAAACATCTTCTCGTTTCTTATCTGAAATATATTATGTTTAGCCTTAATGTAAGCCACATATGAGTGGGCGGTTCCTAAGAGTCTGTATATTTTGCCGTATTTATCTCACTCTCATTGCTATTATCACTCACTTAGTGTCCTCGTCTGCTAAGTGAAATGCTGAATACTTAGAAAGAAAAATGTGGCCCGGACAAAACTTTTTCCATTACACAACGTACAACAGTTTTTTGCTTTCATTATTATTTGAGTTTCGTTGTTGTTGCCGTTGTCCTTTCTCCCTTTTTTTGGGGAAAGCAGACACAAAGGAAACGTTGAGAACGCTGAAAGCTTTTTATGCTCTTACGCTATGGGCCAGGTATAAGAGCTTTGTAAATGCAATTGGAAATTGCACTAAGCTTTAGGTGCTTCTTGCTAGTGTGTGGGTGCGTAAGTGTAAGGGAAAAGGGAAAAAAAAGGTTGGGCGAAAAACTGAACTAACTTTGGTTTTGGGGTAATGGAGATTGGGAATTTGAGAGATATAATAAAAGATTACGTTCCCCTTGTCGAATACAAAATGTATTTCGTTATTAAAGTGCGAAGAATATTTTTAACAAGCTAAAACTAACTAATTAACCAACAGTAAAACCCTGTTAAGTAATTGAAAAGACATAGTTCTATTAAATATTATTATCCATCCGGGTACCTAACGTGCACTCAAAACGACGAAAACGTAGTCGATTGCCCCTGCCCCAATCAATTTAAAAAGGTTTCCTAACTGAAGTTGAACTTAAAAAAACGCTTTTTTGTTGCTTATTTATAAAAGAATAAATAATGGAGGACTAAAACATCTTTATAATCAAACTCATAACATTGGACCGTTCTACATGCAACTGGGTGAAGACTTGCCTCGCTTCCACTCGCAGTCTTTGTGGGCTTCTTTATTCGGGCTCACTTTTCTATAGCCAAATAAGTAAATAATTGCAGTAATATCCTTTCTGGAGCGGCCAGGAAGAAGTGGCAAAAAGGGAACGGAAAAGAATGGAGAAGAATGGCGAGCGAAATGAAAGAATGCGAGAATGGAGAGCGGGGCGAGAGAATGGAAAGCGTGTTTCCATGTCCTTTTCACAAACTAAAAAGTCCTTTCACATATACATAGAGAACGGTATATAGCTGAACACAGACACCCACAATGGACAAAAATTCACACCAAAGACCTATTGTGATTGGCCCAACAAACACATATACACTCGCACTTGGAGAGAGAGAGAGTTCCTTCTCCCTCTCGGGATGTCTCTCCCTCTCTCGCTCTGACTGCACGGGAGATGCGGAAGTGCAACGTCGCCGTGCAAAACAATAACGGAAATTGTGTGCCCACTGTGCAAAAATCAATGTGCTCCCAGGCTCCCGCATCCGCTCTCTCCCATCCACTCTCTCTCACTCTCTTCGGCTTTCCCCCCACCCGAAATGGGGTCGCTAAATCGAATAACACGAAGTAGAGCCGAACGAGCTCTATTGAGATTCTTCTATTGAACACACCCCTCAATGGGCGAACAACTATAACCGATATAAAGGAGCCAATGGAACAAAGCCAATGGAACAATGGGCCACAAAGCCAAAGAGAGAAGGCGAGATGTGTGAGTGAGAGCGCGACGGCGGCGCAACTCTCTCCCAGGTAACATACACAGGCGCTGTCCCGCTCGCACCTACACAAGCTTACCCAACTAAAGGTGCGAGGGTTGCTCGTTCACTACTCTCTTCCGAAGAGAAACGGGATTTGGCTGGAGTCGTGTCGCCAGCACTGGAACGCCACACAAATCAGTCACAAAAAATCAGTCGAGCCGAGCAGAAGCATAGCAAGAGCGAAGCAAAGCAGAAGCACGAGTTGAGCAAACCAAAAGCAAGACATTTAGAGATACAAAGAACCTGAAGAATCACAGTTTAACCACAGACATTGTGTTCCACAAAGTGAAGTGTTGATCTTGAAAGAACCCATAAAAACAGAAATAAAACAAAAAACAGTGAACAAAATAGCTGGAATGGCCACCTTATCGACACATCCCAATTACGGTTTCCATTTGGGCCAGGCCCAGGGATTGGAGGACTACGCCCCGCAGGGTCAGCTCCAGCTGAGTCCCGGCATGGACATGGATATCAAACGGGTGCTGCACTACTCCCAGAGCCTGGCGGCCATGGGTGGTTCGCCCAATGGACCCACCGGACAGGGAGTGAACGGATCCCCGGGCATGGGACACCACATGTCCAGCCACATGACCCCGCACCACATGCACCAAGCCGTGTCCGCTCAACAGACCCTATCGCCCAACAGTTCCATCGGATCCGCCGGCAGTTTGGGCAGTCAAAGCAGCCTGGGCAGCAATGGCAGTGGCCTGAACTCCGGTTCGGGTCACCAGTCCGCCGGAATGCACAGCTTGGCCACATCGCCCGGTCAGGAGGGTCACATCAAGCGACCAATGAATGCTTTTATGGTCTGGTCCCGCCTGCAGCGTCGTCAGATCGCCAAGGATAATCCCAAGATGCACAATTCCGAGATCTCCAAGCGACTCGGGGCCGAGTGGAAATTGCTGGCTGAGTCGGAAAAGCGACCCTTCATCGATGAGGCCAAGCGCCTGAGGGCCCTGCACATGAAGGAGCACCCGGACTACAAGTACCGCCCACGGCGGAAGCCCAAGAACCCCCTGACCGCTGGACCCCAAGGTGGACTGCAGATGCAGGCCGGCGGAATGGGTCAACAGAAGTTGGGAGCTGGCCCAGGAGCCGGAGCTGGAGGATACAATCCCTTCCACCAGTTGCCACCATACTTTGCGCCATCACATCATCTCGATCAGGGATATCCGGTTCCGTACTTTGGAGGATTCGATCCGTTGGCCCTGTCGAAACTTCATCAATCGCAGGCTGCGGCGGCGGCGGCGGTGAATAACCAAGGTCAGCAGCAAGGACAAGCCCCGCCCCAATTGCCGCCCACCTCGCTGAGCAGCTTCTATTCGGGCATCTACTCCGGGATCTCGGCACCTTCGCTGTACGCCGCCCACTCCGCCAATGCCGCCGGACTCTACACATCCTCGTCCACCTCATCGCCGGGATCCTCGCCGGGAACCATCACGCCAAATGGCATGGATGGCTCCATGGACAGCGCATTGAGGCGACCGGTTCCGGTTCTCTATTAGAGCCGCGATTTAGGGTAGAGTACAGAGTAGAGTACAATTGTTGAAGCATTCCCAAAGTGATCCACTGGTTTTAAATCTTCAAAAGCTCTAAGTAAGCCAATCCTCCAAACCACTCCGCTTAATTCTAGTACAATCTTCGCGCACTTCAGATCGTAGATATAAGGAAAAAAAACAAAAGCACACACACAAAACATTCCTAGCCAATACACAAAAACTATAAACTATAATTTATTTCGCGCACTCAACTACGACACGACAAAATGAAAAAAACAAAAACCTAATTGTAAATTAATTTTATTTAGTTTTAAGCATTGAGAGAGCGCATCCTTCTTGTTGTTTTTTTCGCATCAGCACCAACTTATAATATAGCTCTTAGTTTTAAATGTCTAACCCTCTCAAATTGTAAATACCCCAGCCAATTTCGTTATAGTGTCAGTGTAGCCCGAAATGTGTGGAAAAGAATATACATCAATGTATTATTGTATTATTAATTGTATTAAAAGTAAACGTTATCATCTAAGCAAAATGGTTCATGAAAGCCAACACAAACAAAGACATTTAAAAATGAATGAATAAAAACAAAATAACTTGAGAAAACCAAACTTTAAACACCGACTATTTATTTTGAAATATGATATGGGTTTGCATCGTCAATATTTTATGGGCTTATAAAAACACTACGATTAGTGGGTCAATCTTTTCAAACAAAAATTAAAACAAAAATATATAACTCCTTATTTATTATCATAAATCAAAAGTTACACAAGGACTGACACGTTTTTTCAAAGCCTATAAACAAAGTTTTACGTTCAACTTAATAATCAAATCTTAACATATTTTAACTCTAAACTCTCGGCATCATATTTTCAATTATCTTTCCCATAATTGGATCATCATAATTTTATTTGATAATTTTTTAATTTTTGCCCATAAACTTTACGATTAAAAAAACGTGTGCTCCGAGCTCTTATCAAAATATCAGAAATACGAACAAAATCCATTAACAATTTGAATATTCATTGGATGAGATTATACAACCATTAACATAATATTCTCAACTCGACCGAATGAGTCATTTGGATATAGTTTTAAAACAATAATTTCATCATCACTTAATAATGCGGACGACTTTGCTGTGTTTTTTGTTAAGTTTACCTTGGCCCAAACTCCTCTCCCTTTGCTGATCAAATTAACCTTGTCTCTGGGAGTCTTTACCAGTATTTCGCTCATTTTTGTGAGCGTTTTTGTTGGTTAGTTTACACCCGCTGCGAAGAGAAGAAAAAACTTAAATTTGATTTGCCATTATACAACTATTTGCCGTTGTGTATTAATTTCTATTGATTAATGCGCTGTTTATTTTGCGCCTCCAAGACAGAATTCGATAGTTTGAACAAAAGGTCGTCTCTGGGATCATTGGATGGGGGTCACATTGTGTTTTTTTTTTCGGGATCAACGGGGGGCCCGGGCCCTCTAAGACCTCACTATTCGGAGTGTAACAGAATACCCTGGCGAAAGAAATCAACGCGTGTTTTTTCCGTTTTTTGATTTTTGGCTTCTTCTCGTAATAATAATAAGAATAATTGCGGTCATTAATAAATCCACTTGCATTGTCTTCCCTCGAACTCTGGCTTTTCGATTGCCGTTTTCTACTCTTTGGAGTCTATTCAATCTGGCCCCGCTACTCCCTTTCCCTACAGTTTGTCAAATGTGTTAAAATATCAAATATTGATTATTGTTGTTATTATGCGTATTGTTGATATTGGTCTTTTTGTTGTTGTTCCCTGCCTTGTTTCTCCGTTCTCTGTTCGCTTTCCGTTCTTTATTCGATATCTACATTTCACAAATATTTACCCAGCATTGACGTGCTATTGAATAATTATATAAAGATTGGATTCTTCTGGCTTAGCCCTTTAGAACATTTTTGGTTTAAGTTTATAAAGTGGAGTCAACAGTGAGTATCAGGGAATTAATTAGTTCGATTTTTCAATTTGATTTCATAATATAAATGCGTTATATTATTTAAAGTATAAAAAACAAAACAAAATTATATGAAACTTTACCATTGATTACATTAAATTTTTTCCTTTTAGATACTTCTGACTTTGTATGTTATTTAATTTTCAAATAACGAAAACGAGTAAATAGAGTCTTACAAAATAGTTTAATACTTAGTTTTAATCATGATATTAATGTCATATATTTTATTACTAGCCATAAAACTCACCGGCCTTATAAAAAGCCAGCTAAATCCTTAGCTTACCCGAAACGGAAGTGACATTTGACTTTGCTTAAGACTTTATCTAACCATTAGACTAATCCCAGCCGAAAGCCATAACCTCTCACGCCTTTTAAATCCGACTTTATCCCATTTCATCGAGAAAATTATCGCACAGATTGGCGTCAAATAATTGAAATTCCAGTTCAACTCGTTGGGTTTTTAAGGATTGTCGAAAACGTTTTACGACCCGTTTCGCCTACGCCTCCTACTCCCAAAAGCCACGCCCCGGAGTCTCATTTAGTCATGTCTGTATACAAATATAATTTGCAGCCTCTGGTGCTTCGATTTTTTTACGACTTTATGGCCGGGGGATTAGCGTCCGGTCCGCAGAAAGGAGTGTGCAAAATGTCGCGATGTTTTTATGCATCTATCGCTGTCTGTTTGGGTTGTTGTTGTTTTTTGTCGTGGGCCGTTTTGGCTACCTGCGGTCACTTAGACCCGGATTAGCCGGACTCTTGATTTCCTTCAACTTTTCCCAAAAATCCTTGTGTTTTTGTGCACTTTTTTAGGCGAAAGATGCGCTCGCTAATCCGGCGGATTAGTGACAAAGGACCAGACGGATTAGCTAATAACGGTGATACAATTTGCCAGCCAAATTATTGCAGCGACCTCGTCGACAGTCGGCTGGTCTCATTTCCCGACTTTTCCAAATACCTTTCTTACGCGGAAGGTTGAGTTTACTAGCAATTCGGGTTGTTTGTGCCATAAACCATTAACTGGATAGATATAGACGGTTGCCAGATCGGCCTGCAAAGGGGTCAAGCTGTTTTCTGCTGGAAAGTATATTCCCCTAAATATGTATCTCCCCCAATGACAGTATATATCCTAAACATGGCGGCGGTGTCTGTCGTCTGTCAAGTCCTCCCACTTCCTCCACTTTTTTTCATACCCTTTCCCCATTTTGTGTCACTGGTTATGCAGCCTAATTTGTGGGTGGTGGCTTTTTGTCAAACTGTTTCATATTTGCAATGGCTTAACAGGGTTGTTTAGCGGTTACACTAGGCTACAAAATCTAGGGCTAATTAAGAGCAATCAAATTTGTTGTGTAAATAAACTAAAACCTAAATTAAACCAAAAAACCATTACATATTAATTAATACTATGACATGTTTAAATATTTAAATTTTTTTCGAATACTAGAATGCAAATTTACATAACTATTTTTATTCACTTTAATGATTTTATTCAATTTTTTTTTGTTTCTGTTTAAACTTGATTTTAAATGGATAAATGATAAATAAAAATGCGTCTCCTACAATAAAAAAATAACATATAAAAGGACCAACAACTTTATTTATGTTAATTAAAAAACATCTTTATGATACTTTCTTTATTGTCAAATTTGTAGCTTAGTGTCTTGTCTCATATTTCATTCAAAATCGACAACCGTTCCCCAGTCCCTGAGGCAACTACCCCAATCCCCCGCCGTTCCGTCTGGACGTGAAGCATATTGTCGCGAGGGTGGCTATGGATGAGGATATAGCCGGGGCTATAGCCGACTGCCACGGCGACTGAGGCGCGTGGTTGACAAGTAGCAAAGCGTGGCGGCTTTTTAAGTGCTAGTTTGACATTTTTTTTTTATTTTTTGTGTGTGTTTCTGCCCCCACTGCAGTGGCGCTGCGGCGTTTTCCGCGCAACGCTAACCAACCAACCAGACCGTCAATAAGTCGCAGGCTAACAATTAATTAAAAGCCTCCACCGCACAAAGAGCCCGGCGCACTTAGGCAAATGAGCAGCGACGGCAAAAACGAAGGCGGCCCACGGGGCGAATGCGCGATGTCGACTGGGACATAATTTGTCAGCGAGCGCCGAGGGCGTCAAAGCAGCAAGGAAATTGCAGCCGTAAGTGCAAGGATAACGCTGATTTGCCTCAAAAGTGATGCCGAGTCGAGTCGAGGCAGTTGAGTTGTTGTCAACTCAACAGCGTCATTAACATTTGGCACGAACGCCAAATGGAAATTAAATGATGCTAAATTTGCAACCAGCCGCAACTTGACAACTGATTGCTTGGCAGAAGCAGGAGCGGCACACAAACAGGACCTATTTGCATACACGGCCGCCGTTTCGAGGCTCATTCAGTTGTATCAAATTTGATTAGGTGCGAGACATTTGTCATAGCCGTATATTCGGAATAGTGCGCCCCGACTTGGGCGACAAATTTGTGGTTTGCCTCGCTTTTTCCACACATCCATATCCAACCCTCCTCCCAAAGCGACAGCGATTGATGAGATGGGCTCCGAGTTTTGTTCCCGGTATTCTATGTATGCTGATTTCTAAGCTGGACGCTCGACGTCGAGTGCCAAAACACTTACGCCCTGCATACGAGGTTGATGTGTTGATGATGATCATGACTGCCGTCTGGGAATTGAAAAATCACACATACTTTTAATCGGGAAAAAGGGTGGAGTGCAGACAAAAGATCATTGTCATTAGCACGCAAATTAGCTGGCACAGCAGATAAATAATGGTAAAAGCAGGATTAGGTGAATGAACTGCTTTAAACAGAGTCTGAAATGACTTATGATTTATTTCTTGTTTAACATAAAATATTATTTAGTATTTTAAAAAAATTTCCGTATGTATCATATCATCATGAAATAATTAGGATAAGTAAAAAAAAAGTAACTTTTCTCATTCTCATTTTAAAGCTGTTTGTTTTGGTTAAATATAAACTTCTATAAAGAGCTTGTGGTAAACAACAAAAATACCCTCTTATAAAACATATAAAAGTATTTTAGGAACTTATGAGTAGAAAACGATACAATAAAGTTTATTAATAATTTAGAATTTTAAGCTCCTAATAAAATTTAAGAAGCTTACATTTATTAACTCTAACTAGGTATCAATTAGCATCTAATTCCCATTGAAAAAACCCCAAATTTTCACCTCGAAGAGCAGAGTATAATGGGTATTGGTTGCCAATAGAGCTTAGTTATTATTTTTTGCAGTATTTGAGGGTATAAATTTATACTTTTAAAAAATGTTTCGATTGATCCCTGGTCTCTCCATTATATTTTGAGGCTCTTGGCGGGCGTCCAGCGTTCGCATGACAATGGGCCAGTGAACTGAAAGGATTTTTATGACGCGAGGCGAGTGGAAAACTTCCGTTTCGAACTCCTGGCCGCTCCTTACCACGTGTCAGAGGAGATTGGAGCAGGGGCACGCAGAAAGGGATTTGATTGGAATTAAAATCCTGAAGCCATGGCCCGTCGCCACATTGTCTATTCTGTTCCGTTCTGATACACCTAAAATAAATTGGGTTACTTATTTTATGAAATATTAAAAAAGCATAAAAAAACACAGTATATGGTTTTTTTTAGCTTA